GCTGATCAGGGGGTACTTGGCTATTTTTTTCAAAGGGGGTACATGATTGAAAAAGGTTTGAGAACCACTGCCCTAGGGTGTTAGGTCCACTCCCCACTTGTAAAAATAGCACTTTTGTCACGGTGTGTGAAGCAGGTAGGACCCAAATGCAGATAAAGTGAGAATTCCTTTATTTCAAGGCTAGGTGAACAACAAAGACAAAACAGAACACTCACCGACAAACTAGTCATGACAAAAGACGAACCGACAAAGACAGACAGAAAAACCAGAACTTAAATACACACAAGACTAATCACAGAAACAAGACACAGGTGAGGAGGGAGGAGAAAACACAGGGACACCAGGTGAACACAATCGGGTAAATTAGACACACCAGGGAAACTAACGACCGGGAACCACAGACAGATTTAAACAAGACACAACGCAGACAGAAACAGGCAAGACAGGAAGTGAAGACCTTTCAACATAAAACATGAAACAAGACAAGACAAAATACAATACAGGCAGATCATGACAGTACCCCCCCCCTCAAGGGACGGATTCCAGACGTCCCTAAAACACCAAAAAACAAAAACAATGTCCAGCAGGGTGGGTGGAGGGGGACCGGAGGAGGGACACAAAACTAGGGCCACAAGGGTGGGTGGAGGGGGTCCGGAGGACGGGTCTGGGCTGACAACCCAGGAGCACAGCAGAGGACCAGGAAGGGATCTCGGGCGGACGGCCCGGGGGCAAGGCAGAGTTCAAGGAGGGGTTCTCGGGCGGACGGCCCGGGGGCAAGGCAGAGTTCAAAAAGGGGGATTCGGGCGGACGGGCCGGGGGCAAGGCAGAGTCTAAGGTGGGGGACTCGGGCGGCCGAGCATGAGGGCGAAGGCAGCGGCAGGAAGAGTCAGGGGGCCGGGATCACGGGCGAAGACCACGGCTCACAGAGGGCCGGGTTCGAGGGCGAAGACCGCGGCTCTCAGGGGGCCGGGCTCGAGGGCGAAGACCATGGCTCACAGAGGGCCGGGATCGAGGGCGAAGACCGCGGCTCTCAGGGGCCCGGGCTCGAGGGCGAAGACCAGAGAGCTCCGGAGGCCGGGCAGGAAGGCGCTGACAGGACAGTGCCGGAGGCCGGGCAGGAAGGCGCTGACGGGACAGTGCCGGAGGCCGGGCAGGAAGGCGCTGACGGGACAGTGCCGGAGGCCGGGCAGGACCCGGTGTCGGAGCTGGTGGGACAGGCCTCGGCAGGATCCCCCACGGAAGAGGACCAGGACACGGGATTTGCAGGAGAGCAGTCGGCGGGGCCTCCAACGGCACAGGACATAGGATTGGCAGGACCCCCAGCAGGAGAGTAGACGGCGGGACCTCCAACGAGACAGGACAAAGGGTTGGCAGGACCCCCGGCAGGAGAGTAGTCGGCGGGGCCTCCAACAAGACAGGACAAGGAGCTGGCAGGACCCCCGACAGGAGAGTAGACGGCGGCACCTCCAACGGCACAGGACAAAGGGTTGGCAGGACCCCCGGCAGGAGAGTAGTCCGCGGGACCTCCAACGAGACAGGACAAGGAACTGGCAGGACCCCCGGCAGGAGAGTAGACGGCGGGACCTCCAACGGGACAGACATACAATTGGTAGGAACCTCGGCAGAGGAGTAGTCGACGGGGCCTCCAACGGGACAGGCCATGGAGTTGGCAGGACCCCCAGCGGAACCTCCAACGGACCAGGACATTGGGTAGGGACTTGAGACGTGACTCGAGAGGAGACTCGAGAGGGGAACCAAGGGGGAACTCGAGACGTGACTCGAGAGGGGAACCAAGGGGGAACTCGAGAGGGGACTCGAGAGGGGAACTAGAGAGGGGACTAGAGAAGGGAATTCGAGAGGGGACTCGCGAGGGGAACTAGAGAGGGGACTCGAGGAGGGACTAGAGAGGGGTCTAGAGCAGGGACTAGAACAGGGACTAAAGGAGGGACTAGAGGAGGGACTAGAGAAGGGAACTGGAGAGGGGACTAGAGGAGGGAACTGGAGAGGGGACTCGAGAGGGGACTCGAGAGGGGACTCGAGAGGGGACTCGAGAGGGGACTCTGGTAGGAACTTGAGAGGTGACTAGAGAGGGGACTCGAGAGGGGACCTGAGAGGGAACTGGAGAGGGAACTGGAGAGGAGACTTGAGAGGGGACTCGAGAAGGGATTTGAGAGGAGACTGGAGAGGGGACCAGAGAGGGGACTCGAGAGGGGACCCGAGAGGGAACTCGAGAGGGGACCCGAGAGGGAACTCGAGAGGGGACCCGAGAAGGAACTCGAGAGGGAACTCGAGAGGGGACCCGAGAAGGAACTCGAGAGGGGACCCGAGAGGGAACTCGAGAGGGGACCCGAGAGGGAACTCGGGTAGGAACTGGAGAGGGGACTCGGGTAGGAACTGGAGAGGGGACTCGGGTAGGAACTGGAGAGGGGACTCGGGTAGGAACTGGAGAGGGGACATGAGTCGGTCGGTACGCCGACAGGACACGGGGAGTTAGCGTCATCTGGGGAGCCAGCAGGAGACGAGGTGCTGGAGTCGGCCGCTACGCCGACAAGACTCGGGGAGCTGGCGTTGGCTGGGGAGCCAGCAGGAGACGAGGTGCTGGAGTCGGCCGGTACGCCGACAAGACTCGGGGAGCTGGCGTCGGCTGGGGAGCCAGCCCTGTAGCCGAAACTGGAGTCGAGCCCATGGCTTCCGGGGCCGGTACTGAAGCCGGAACCATGGCTGCTGGGGCCGGAACCATGGCTGCGGGGGCCGGAATTGAAGCCAGAATCATGGCTGTAAGGTCCGGTTCTGGAGCTGGAAACATGGCTGTAAGGTCCGGTTCTGGAGCCGGAAACATGGCTGTAAGGTCCGGTTCTGGAGCCGGAATTGAAGCCAGAATCATGGCTGCTGGGTCCGGCGCGGAAGCCTGGACCCTGGCTGTGTAAGCCAGGTAATCCAGTATGGACGCAAAGCTGCGTGGGCCGGTACTGGAGCATGGAGGCATGGCTGCTGGGTCCGGCACTGGAGCCGGAACCATGGCTGTTGGGGCCTGTACTGGAGCCGGAACCTCGGCTGTTGGGACTCGGGCTGCTAGCCTGGCCTTGCGACGACTCCTCTTAGCAGCCTCCTGAATACTCCGTGGACCTCCATAAGCCAGACGAGTTCCGGAATACGACTCCTGGACAGGAGCAGGAACTGGGGCAGAAGCACGGGTTGACTTCAGGCGGAACCCACCAAGGCGTATGGTGCCAGGTTGGGAATTGGGAGACAGGGAGCTAGCATGCCTGGGGCTAGCAGGCCGGGAATCACATGCTTGAAGGAAGTCCAAAATCCAGTCAGGTAAGAACTCAACAAAACATGATTTCTCTGCTGCCAACCGGAGCGCCTCTACCAGAGCGGCCCTCTTCTGCCGAACACTGGATGCTCCCTTCCACCAAACGAAGCAGCAAGCCAGATAGAAGGTTAAATGCTGTAATTCAACCTCCCATGGATCATCTGCTGGGTCCATTTTGTGGTCGGTTCGTTCTGTCACGGTGTTTGAAGCAGGTAGGACCCAAATGCAGATTAAAGTGAGAATTCCTTTATTTCAAGGCTAGGTGAACAACAAAGACAAAACAGAACACTCACCGACGAACTAGTCATGACAAAAGACGAACCAACAAAGACAGACAGAAAACCCAGAACTTAAATACACACAAGACTAATCACAGAAACAAGACACCAGGTGAACACAATCGGGTAAATTAGACACACCAGGGAAACTAACGACCGGGAACCACAGACAGATTTAAACAAGACACAACGCAGACAGAAACAGGCAAGACAGGAAGTGAAGACCTTTCAACATAAAACATGAAACAAGACAAGACAAAATACAATACAGGCAGATCGTGACAACTTTACCACTGCACCCTCTCTAATCTCAGATGCACCCTGAGTCATTTTGTTCTGGAACCGGGCCTGCTCCGCTGGGAAACTGCTCTCATGTCAAGAAGCATCAGATCAGTGCATGCACTGCATCGTCCAATCAGTGAGCGATACACAGTAAGGGGGCGGAGCGAGTGGCTGAGGATTTCACCGGAGGATGGTCTGGTGGTTCCTCGGTTATCGCTCCTCGCTCCTCGCTCCTCGCTCCTCGCTCCTCGATCCTCGGTCCTCCGGCAGAAATAAGCGCCATGGGACGCTACTCAAGATGGCGCAGACAAATCAACTTCCGGTGATACAGAGGACCGAGAAGCGAGGAAATGAAAATAACCGACCTGAGACGCAGCCCGGGCCTCAATTAAACGCCTGCAGCTAGTCCAAAACGCAGCTGCACCATAGGCGTATTTTGAGGGGGGGGGCATTTTCCCCCCTAGTGGCTGAAATATGTTACAGCATTACTACGTCTAAAACTGTTCCAATACAAATATTTCGTATATCAATATTTTAATAGATGTAATAAAATGATTGTTACAATACAAATCTGAATAATATCATGTTTTGTTTGAAATAATTTCATTTTTGAGCAGTCGCATGTTGTGACGTGTGTGTGTGTGTGTGTGTGTGTGTGTGTGTGTGTGTGTGGTGTGTGTGTGTGTGTGTGTGTGTGTGTGTGTGTGTGTGTGTGTGTGTGTGTGTGTGACGTGTGAGGTTAAGGACACATTTCCCTCGCTTTTTTTTGCATACAAGTGATTCAGCTATTGTATTACAAGAATTAGCAGTAATGGATATTCGGCGATTACCTAACCCGAAAGACTGTTAAAAAGGACAGCTATCCAAATCTATACAAGATGCTCGTTGGCACTGACTCTGCCACCTCTGCCACCTCTGAGAGAAGTTTTTCTGCAATGAGGAGAATTCGGAACTGGCTGCGGTCAAAGATGGGAGGAACAAGATTTTCCTCACTTGCGGTTCTTCACATTGAGGACGACATAATCACACAGCTGTCACCTGAGGGGATAGTGGAGTCGACACATATGCGGAACGTAAAAAAAGGCGTCTACTTCTGCACTAAGGTAGGACACTGGTTAATAATATTGTAGCGTGTTCAAGTAACCAAGGAATATAGTATCAAATAAGTATAAGATGTGCACAGTTATGATAAGTTTTACAGTTATGTAATGTACTGTTGTTGGGGGGAGAGACCGCCCCTTCCATATGAGCATGAGGCGTGCATGACGGGACGAGTTATGTTCTTATGTGGAAAAGTCATACAGTGCGGTGAATGCTGGCTTTATTGCTACTGTATCCGTAGCGCCCCACGCAATAGTTGGGACTGTGTACTGATGTCAGTAAAAAAGGTTTGTCCCCCCAATCGCAAATGTCAAACTCCGCCTATGAGCTGCACGTCTTCTGACTGGCCACAAAAAGCGTGACCACATCACCCCAATTCTGGCCTCACTACACTGGCTTCCAATTCAGTTCCGAATTGATTTTAAAATCCTTTTATTTGTTTTCAAAGCCCTAAATGGGCTGGTTCCTGCCTATATAGCCAAACTCCTCCATCGCTACACCCCAGCCAGAGGTTTAAGGTCTGCTGACCAGCTGTTGCTGATAGTGCCCAAGACCAGGCTCAAAACCTGAGGTCACTGAGCCTTCGCAGCAACTGGCCTCAGGCGCTGGAATAGTCTGCCCCTCCATGTGAGGTCGGCCCAGACACTAGGGTTTTTTAAATCCTCACTAAAGACTCACTTCTTCTCCCAGGCCTTCTAGTCAGAGCGGAGCATGACACCTGACTATTCCCTGTGTTTTTGTTTTTTATATTTCTGTTGTAAATTATTGTCTTTTATTGAGATAGTAATGTGTTTTTATTACATGTACAGCACTTTGGCTCAACCTGACTATTCCCTGTGTTTTTGTTTTTTATATTTCTGTTGTAAATTATTGTCTTTTATTGTGATAGTAATGTGTTTTTATTACAAGTACAGCACTTTGGCTCGACCAAAGTCTTGAACCAGCAAGACCAGCCTGGCCAGCTTGTCCAGCCTGGTAAACCAACTAAACCAGCCTAACACCAGCTAAAACCAGCCAAGCAACCCGGGAAACTGGCTATGGACGTTTGTTCACTTTCTTCTAGCTCTTATTATTATTTATAACATCTGTTTTTGTGTTTAATCCATAGAGCTGAGTATGAGCATTTCCCCTCCTGGATTGAGCCAGGAGGATCTATTACTCTGTCAAAGTAAGCCTGGTTTTTAACCTTCTTTAATGTTATATTGAACTGGTGTTTGAGCTGGCAACTATTATGTTGCGTTTGTTTTTTAAAAAGAATACTGTCCTCTAATGCTTTTTTAGTTTTATTTTCTGTCAATAGTTTTCTTGTGTGCAGATTGTGGGCATTATAATTGACTAAGTGTTTGTGTTACAGGCTCCTCTCCCTCTGGGGGAACCTTGTCTGCTTTCAGTGTAGGGACTGCATGGTGTGACACTTTAAAAGGGTGAGTAAACTAACTCACTGTAATAATTTTGTAGAAGTTGTGCTTTGAGTAGTGTGTGCTTTTGTTCTCTTTTTGTCCCTCACAGTTAGCAGGCATTGTGACCTAGTGGACCAGACCTGCCCATCTGAGGAGGGAAAACCCACCATGTAATAGTGTAAAGTATGTTTACCCGTTGACTGCTGCTGAACATTGACATTTTAACATGTATATTTGTGAAATAAAGCTGCATTCTATTTTGTAATTCATGCCTCTGTTATTGTCCTTGTGAAGGGAAGCCCCACAATCTGCAAAACAACTTTGGATTTAGATTGAGAGTCCACAGGTTCCTCCATCCCCTCAGCAGGAGTTGGTGTTGTCAGCTATTTAAAGGGGACCCCAGCCACAGTACCGCATCAGAGACAGGGTGTGTTCACTGTTGGCCTAATATATTATTGGTCAACTGAACTTGGCTAACGCTAAACACAACCACACCTTAACATAAGCAAAAACAGTCTACCTGCTCACCTGGTGATGGCCCACTATATGGGTAATAGTTAAATGACTGCCACAAGGCCTTTCTATGACACTGAATAGGAACAGACCACAGCTCTGATTTAGGAGATCTTGCTGACCAACTATTGCTGAGTTGATTTAACAGAAAGCCTCTTTAAAATGAGATTATGTTTCTCAGAAGAAAGAGAAATTGTGCCTCATGTTTAAAAAAAAATCTAAAGTCTGCAAGCCAGACTGACTCTTTTCACTTTTTTAAGGTTACACCAGCAAACCCTTGTACCCAGATGCTAAATTACCACTTAGCTACATTTTAAACATTAAATACTTTTCTATAACTTAGAGGCTGCACTGTCTGCTGTTCAGCAAAAGTTAAGGAGACTGGCTTTAAAGGTGAAATGTGCTGTCAAAGTGTGTGAATAATGCATTGTTTCCTTGTCAATAAAGTGAACCATTATGTTGCATATATCACAAACACAAAAAGGACTTTCATACACACAGTAAGTGTACATCTGTGTCTTTATTGGGCCAAAGGGATGTTAACAGAGTAACAGGTGAACAGTGACCTGGTTCAATAAGATGTATGTAATATCTCAGTTGATAAACACAAGTTATGCCAGATGCACAAACTGAGGGATAAGAATAATAATGGAAATCATTCCATGTGTGATCAAAACCGTAGTTGGTGTGGACAGTCTTCTTTTCCATCATTGTTGGGCTCTCCTGAACTCTAAGAGACAAAGATAATGAACCCTAAATTGCTCCTGATTGCATGGCGATCAGTGTGAGTGTGAATCTTGTTCTCCATTAGCAGGTGCATGCACTATATGAATGTGTGTATCCTGCTGTTCAGCTTGACTTATGTCAAAGACATTTGAGGGGTCACGAGAGTGGAAAAGTGCTATATAAATGCTGCCAATTTACCATATACACTATTTCTATCTCCTTCCCTCCTTCCTTTCCATGACCTTTGAACTGAAGCTGATACTCTAGTTTTGGGTTATTTCGGGAGTTTAAACTTGTAATACTGTTGTCCAGGGTGTGGTCCGTTTGCATTAGTCAACAATGCACAGAAGGATTGTGGGCACTTTTGTTTCACTCGGTTATTTTCCAGTACCTCTTCAATCAAATAACACACAAAGGAAAAACCCAAGAAGTTTGACTTTTTTTTGAAAATGATGATCAATTTGAATACTTTTGATTGTTTTTGCTTCCCAACAAAAACCAATAATCATTCATTTTATATGAATTGCATTGAAATCTAAGACGCAGGTGATGATACACATGTCTGTTACCATGCTGCCAGTTTTTGAGTTTCACGCCATGCCTGCCTGAATATACTCTATGCAAGCACTACGGTATATTGAATCGTGCTATATATATATTATACTCTGTAATCTTAACTATATCTGATAGCTCAAGCCCTCCTTTTGTTAGTCTTCCTTTAAAACAACAGAGAGAATGAATGTCTTGTTTATCAGAAAATAGTACTGTTGAGTACATTTTAGGTTTGTACGTTTACGTCCATGTGAAAGATAAACATGATAAGTAGAGTCCCTGTCCATTAAACACCTGTTATTCCCAAAACCAGAAAAAGAGTGATGGTACTTTTCCCAATAAATCATGTCTCTAAGACTAGGCTCATCACTTTGAAGCATTCCTATATCAAATCTGTGCAAAAGTTAATGTTTATTGAACAAAATAACACAAACAATAACCAAAGCAGGACTATACGGTCAACAGAAAAGAGCAAGTTCAGCCCGTTGGTCATCCATACACCAGGGGGGTATACTACGAAGCAGGATTTTCGCTTAGCCGGCTAAATTCAGGGAAAACTCCGGCTTTCCGGTCCTACGAAGCTGGTTCTCTTTTTAGCAGGCTAGATCTCCATGGTAATTTATGCTAAGCGGCTAACCTGGTCGGGACCAGGTTAGGTTGCAGGCTAAGAGCTCAACTCAGTGAAAGCACTGCCTGCTGACCAATCAGAGCTCAGTTTGCGGAGTTTAAAGCGATCAAGTCATATTACAGGAGAAAGGAAATACAGAAAAGCTGCCGTCGCACGAAAGACGGCTGGCAAAAATCACCGACTGTGTGAACGTGAACATTAATAGAATATCACCTCCCATCTTCAGAGCAATCTGACTATTATAACATTAGCGTTAAGAAAGCTTACTTAAATATCTGCCACAACATAAGTAACCGGATCAGAGTAACATTAAGTAGGCCTACAGTCCGCAGCATATCACTTCATAATGTATCATATTTCCTTATCTGAGTCAGCTGAGACGTATCTGGCCGTGCAACACTCACAGTGTCACATACTGTATGCAGAAGTATTATTTTAAGCAACACATTAAGTTGACGAAACACTCGAGACAAATGTAATTAAAGTCAGATCGTGTTTTAGACGGGGCCGTGATATCATAAACCTGTTAATGTACGCATTCAAACACTTTTTCTTTTGCCAGCTGTATTCACCTTGCAGGTGCAGACTATGTGGTTTTTATCCTGGATAAAGTGTTTAAGTCATGGATGTTTAAAGTTTAACTTCTTCATTTTTGACTAGTATTAAAGTTCACTTTTCATTCAGGAAGTATGACGCTGCGCTGTCAGTGCGCTTCTCCATGTTTGTGATTGGTCGAATGCTCCAGATACCATCCCTTTCATGTGAACGCGCACCTAACTAGATAGGACACGGCTGGCTTGAGCGATCCACTTGATAACCCGCGTCGTAGTACAGTTTAGCGAGAGCGCGTATGTTTTGGATTAGGCCAACCGGCTAACTCAAACATATCTAGGTTAGGTTGAGCCAGCTTCGTAGTATAGGCCCCTGGTGTTTCTAGAAGATAGACGTAGATGCTGCCAAAATCGACCGAAGGCCACTTTTGAGGGTCGTAATTCCATACATTGTACATCCAACAACCCACACAGCTCTAGTTTACGCTGGTAACGACCTAGAGCACACCCCTCAAGTCCAGAGATGTAATCCGAAGACATGCAGCGATTTCTTCGGTCGTTAATTCAGAAAAAAAACCTAGTGCGCTCTGCCTGGCTACATTAGCTAGCTGTTTATATTAGCATCTCCAGGATTTTTGCACCTCCAGAAAAATGGCGTCTTTATAAAAAATATATGGTGCGCGTTGCATTGTGGGTAGCTGTGACGTCACTGTGTGTGAAAGAATATGAAGATATTAAATCACTGCTAAACATTGGCGGACAAAAAACAAATTATTTTCAAGTTTACAAGGCTTTTATTGTCATGTGTGCATATTAGGGATGTCAAGTTAACGCGTTAATAACGCGTTAACGCAAAAAAAAATTAACGGCACTAATTATTTTAACGCGATTAACGCATGTGTATTTTTTTTCCTCGGCCGCCCCGTAGTTTCAGAGCGCATCGAGTTTAAAATACCATCTACAAGCTGATGCTGACAGCCCCGCTCCTGCCGCCCGCTTGTGGCAGACCACACTTCCACGCTCACCGGCAGGCACCGACTGGCTGTTGGAAGGACCGGGAGGGTGTGTGTATGTGTGGCCCGAGCGAGCGAAAGAGAGACCTTACGTGCATTGTTGTTGTTAGCATCTGGTGCTAGCTAGCTGCGCTAGTCTTATTACTTAGCCTTATTACTTAGTCTTATTATCTCTTACTACCTCCAGAAGATGTTTGTCGGGAGGGATGATAGTCTGTTTTTAAAAGATACGCTTTATTGCAAACGAAGACCAAGCTGCCCATCACTGAAGCTTTGTAAACATTGAATTGAGCCACCACATTACCACAAACAATTCCCAGGTTGTGCAAAATGAAGATGAACATTAGTCAAAAAGGAGCATAAGCTTGTGGGGATATATCACATAAAACATAATTTATTAATTTCAGGGGAGACTTCTTGCTTTGTGTCTAATTTTATTTCCATTCACAACTGATCGTCGCTCTGACTTGCTCCACTGCTACCCTCCAGTGGCCACAAGGCACAACAGGTACTTTTACATTACAGCATGTAGCTCCAAACCACACATGTATTTCCTTCTGAAAATGCACTTGCACTTGACTAAACCTCTAAACATGGCACATGAACCTGTCACCTCAACACAAATGTAAACTATATACAATGAAATAAGGAATATAGTACAATACAAATGCTCTAATAACAGTGAGCAGATATGTATTTTGATGTGTGGGCATAATGTACAGGGTAATAGTAAAATAACTGCCACAAGGCCTTTCTATGACACTGAATAGGAACAGACCACAGCTCTGATTTAGGAGATCTTGCTGACCAACTATTGCTGAGTTGATTTAACAGAAAGCATCTTTAAAATTAGATTATGTTTCTCAGAAGAAAGAGAAATTGTGCCTCATGTTTAAAAAAAAAAATCTAAAGTCTGCAAGCCAGACTGACTCTTTTCACTTTGTTAAGGTTACACCAGCAAACCCTTGTACCCAGATGCTAAATTACCACTTAGCTACATTTTAAACATTAAGTACTTTTCTATAACTTAGAGACTGCACTGTCTGCTATTCAGCAAAAGTTAAGGAGACTGGCTTTAAAGGTGAAATGTGCTGTCAAAGTGTGTGAATAATGCATTGTTTCCTTACCATTATGTTGCATAATGTCACAAACACAAAAAGGACTTTCATACACACTGTAAGTGTACTTCTGTGTCTTTATTGGGGCCAAAGGCATGTTAAAAGAGTTTACATGATTGATGCTTTTAACTTCAATATTTAAAAAAAAGATCTTCCTGGGGGAGCATGCTCATAAGACAAAAGTTGGTTCCGTGTTGTGTGTAGTGAGAACGCGCTAGAGTGAGGGGGCCCCCCAAGCCAAAGCTTGTTTAGGGCCCCCCAAAGTCTAGGGCTGGCTCTGGATATAAGGGATATATGCACCGTGCTTCACTTTAATTAATATTGTATGCTGAAAAGCGTATATATTACAGCACGATTTTTTGTTGAATAGATTTGAGTGGTTCAAATTTCGGGTTAAGACGCACAGGCTGCAGTGGAGAGGGATGCTGCGCACAGCTGATTGACAGCTGGAACACAAACTACCAAATAAAAAAAATGAATTGACTCCACTCCGCAGGGATCCCCCGATATTTCTTACAGTTTCTCATCATGGGGGGGGGGGGGTTCCTGCATAGGCGGCGCGTGAGGCTCAGGTTTGGGAAGGCTAAATAACTTTTTTTACCTGACGCTGCCCGCCTCCGGCGTCTATAGAAAAGAGATCGACTCAGTGAAAGCACCGCCTGCTGACCAATCAGAGCTCAGTGTGCGGAGTTTAAATCTATCAAGTCATATTACAGGATAAAGGAAATACAGTTTAAACTGCCGTATGCAGAGAAGACGCCAACGTGTCGCACTTATCATTCATATCACATCATAATGTATCATATATCTCCTTATCTGAGTCAGCTGAGCCGTATCTGGCCGTGCAACACTCACAGTGTCACATACTGTATGCAGAAGTATTATTTTAAGCAACACATTAAGTTGACGAAACACTCGAGTCAAATGTAATTAAAGTCAGATCGTGTCTTAGACGGGGGTTCACTGCAAGACAAAGTAATATGGTGTGGGGATTTTAATTCACATAGCTCGCTATGGGGAAGCAGTAGCACAGATGCAAATGGTGCAGTAGTTGAGGAATTTATAGATGACCACGGGCTAGTGTGCATTAACACTGGAGAAGGAACACGATATAATTGCATGAAGAATATAGAAACAGTACTTGATCTGACATTTGTATCTAGTGCAATAGCAGGTATAAGTACATGGAATGTGGTAAAGCATACTACAGTGGGCAGCGATCATTATCCGGTAATGATTAAAGTTGGGACCAACATAAGGTTTGAAAAGGAAAAGAAAATTCCTAGATGGAAATTGGGAAAGGCTAATTGAGATGCCTTCCAAGTTGTAAGTACGAATAGATGTAAAACACTTCAAGAGGAAAATTATGATGATATAAATAAATTCAATGATGAGCTGGTTAAGGTTATCATTCATTCAGCTAAAGAAACAATTCCGGAAATTGCAGGACTTAGGCGTACCAAGAGTGTACCCTGGTGGAATGGTGAATGTAGCAAATCCATTAAAGACAGAAATAAAGCATTCAGGCAACTCAAAAAACTCCATTCTCAGGAAGCTTTGAATCAGTATAAAAGGGCCCATGCTATAGTAAGGAGAACAATAAGAACGCAAAAACGCACTTTTTGGAGGCAATATTGCAATAGTATTGGAAGAGAAGTACAACTTGCAAATGTTTGGGGCATGATTAGGAGAATGGGGGGAATTCAAAGGAATTATGAGTTGCCAGTTTTGAGCAGAGGGGACATAATGGCCCTGATATAGCCCTGACATCTCATTTATGCAAAATCATGGAAATAATGGTTACAGAAAGGTTAACATATATCTTAGAAAGTAAAGCTCTGTTGTCCCCATATCAAAGTGGGTTCCGTAGGGGTCGGTATACAATGGATTCTATATTGTGCTTAGAATCAGACATCAGGAAAGAACAGACCAATAAGGAAGTAGTGATTGCAGTCTTCTTTGATATTGAAAAGGCTTATGACATGCTCTGGAAGGAAGGACTACTAATCAAGTTAAAATCATTGGGAATTGGTGGTAAACCATATAATTGGGTTGTGAATTTTTTACTGGACAGAAAAATACAAGTAAGAGTAGGTGCAGAATATTCAAGTGTTTATGCTGTGGAAAATGGTACTCCGCAAGGTAGTGTATGTAGTCCGTTGCTGTTCAATATAATGATACATGACATTTTTAATCAAGTTAATGCAAGTATGGGAAAATCTTTGTATGCAGATGATGGGGCTTTGTGGGCAAAAGGCCGTAATGTAGCACATGTTGGAAAGAAAATACAAGCTGCAATAGTTGAAGTGGAGAAATGGACAAATAAATGGGGATTCAAACTGTCAGTGGCTAAGACGCAGGTCATTTGTTTTACAAAACAGCATAACATTGCTCCTATATCGTTAAAATTGTATGAGCAACCTCTTGAACAGGTTATTACAATAAGATTTCTTGGTGTTTGGTTTGACGGAAAGTTAACATGGAGCAATCATATAGGAAAAGTTCAAAATAAATGTAAAAAGGTCAACAATGTACTTCAGTGTTTGGCGGGACAGGAGTGGGGAGCGAGTAGGTCATCACTTCTGAATATATATTGGGCACTCATGAGACCTGTATTCGATTATGGGTGTATAGCGTTCATGGCAGCAGCAGACTGAAACCTTAAAAAGCTGGATGTCCTACAAGCTCAGGCCCTGAGAATATGTAGTGGAGTTTTTAAAACATCTCCAGTATCAGCAATACAGGTGGAAATGGGAGAAATGCCTTTAAGGATAAGAAGAGTGAAGTTAATGTTGGCATACTGAGTAAACCTTCAGGGGCATAGTGATAGTCATCCTGCGAAAAGTATTTTTGAAAGACTGCTGGGAGCACACTGAGTCACATTTAACAAGTTTTGGATGGATTGGCGATGTTAAAGCAGCAAGTATAGGTTTGAATCAAATACAGTATTGCCCCACAGTTCCAATCTCGTCCATTCCACCCTGGTTGTTCCCATTGCCAAGTGTAGACCTCAGTATACGAGAGGAGTTAAAGGAAAATATAGAACTACCAGTATGGCGCATAGTCCAGAATAATTTTTGCAAGATATCACTCAGACTCAACAATCATATTTACAGATGGTTCCAAAGATCCAGAGACAGGGCGTGCAGGGGCAGCAGTTTATATCCCAGTGAGTAATACACATATAAAGAAAAGAGTAACAGACTATGTGTCAGTATACACCACAGAGTTGTTGGCATTGGTGTTGGCATTGAAATGGATAGAGGAGAAAGAAATACATAACAGTGTAATTGCATCTGACAGCTTTTCAGAATTATCAAGTATCGGATCAGGTAGATCTTCATTTAGAATGGACATAATAAATGAAATATTTCTAATTTTATATAAAATGCAAAACAAAGGCATAGCAACTCGTTTCATCTGGGTTCCTGCTCATGTTGGTGTGGAGGGTAATGAACAGGTGGATATTCTGGCCAAACAAACACTCAGAATTATGAACATAGACATATAAGTTCCACTCAGCAAAGCGGAGGTTAAAACATTCATTCAGAAATATGCACAAACAACATGGCAAGAACATTGGGATCTTAGTGATACAGGAAGACATCTTTATAAAATGCAAAGGTATGTGGGGGATGGAAGGAAGGTGGGGTTTAAAAGAAGGGAGGAAAATGTCATTTCTCGGATGAGAATAGGTCAGACAGGTCTCAATCATACATTAAGTATAATAGGAAAGCATCCAACCGGAAAGTGTATACACTGTAGCCAGCCAGAAACTGTTGAGCATGTTTTACTGCTTTGCAGGAAATATAGTTGGCTAATCAGAGAAATGTGCTTTTCCACACACTGAAGAAAGCAAAATTCCATGACTTGTCACTATCAGGGCTGTTAGGGAAAACATCAATATATACAATATACAAACAATATATATTGTGAGATTATTACGTTTCTAAGATAAATTGATAAATAAAAAATAATCTAGAGTTTTGGTTCTTTGTTTTGTTCGTTTTGTTTATTGTTTTCTGCATAGTCTCTTGTCCACACTCCAGTCCAGTTGGTGGCGGTAATGCACCTACAAGTTGGTGTGCCAACCGCCAATAAACACTAAAGAAGAAGAAGAAGAAGATCAAGAAGAAGAACAAGAACAAGAACAAGAACGTGCGTGCACGCAAAACACTGAGGCCCCTGGTCGTCCAGAAAACACGCAGAAGGTAAATACTTGCTGAAAATACCTGGCACAGCACAAATGTCCTCATGTGTTAGTAAAGTTACTTTAGTGGGATTTTAATAAGACATGTGAAACACGACGTGCTCACGTTGTGGACGCCACGTTGTCCTGGTTGAGCACAGTAGCTGCTAGTTAGCTTAATGCTAGAAAGGCTAACAGCCTCCTCGTGTAGTTGATACACCGGCAGCTTAAAGAGCCTGTGACAGCATCCCAACAATCAATCAATCAATCAACAACTTTATTAATCCCGCAAGGGGCAATTGGTTATGAGCAGCAGTTTATGGCATGTACACAGGCAGGAACATACAAGAAAAGAAAAAAAACACACAGATACACCCGGGAGCACAGATGTGAATAATTCTAATTTACACTATAAATAGTTCAAAGCATCACAATAATAAATAAATAATCAAGTTAAAAGCCTTTTCAAGAATTTAAAAGTTTGAGTGCAGAAGGGATGAATGATTTAGAAAAGCGATTAGTCCTTTGAGCAGGTAGAGCATATATTCGCCCTGATGGCAACAGACGAAATTCATGTGAAAGAACATGACCTGGAGAGTTCAGAATGCTCTGCTTTCCGCAGAATCTGTTGGTTCCAGAAGGAATTGAAGTCTCTCTGTTTCACGCCGATGATCTTGGAGCAGGTTTTAACAATGCTGTTCAGGCTGTTCCTGTCTTTCAGTGTAAGGCTATGGAACCAGCAACAACAACTCCAACAACTGTTGTGCAATGAAATATTGGGCTACTAGTAATCTCGAACCGTCAGTTTAAAAAAGAAAAAGCGATACCGTTTGATAAATATCAATAATTTCGAACATCGCGGGGAAATTCCTTCGACTCATTTTGGAGTTTTGGGGGAAGCCGGAAGTGACGTCAATGCGGGAACGCTTCACTGCGGCGAGAGAGCCAAACACGGACAAAGTGTGTTGTCATGCGTAGAAATGGTGAATTACTGGGTTTAGGCACGTTAATAACGTTTTAATGAAGTTGACTACAGTATATTCATATTTGTCAGTGCTTTCATGTCAATTCGGCAAACATAAATGATCGTGGTGAAGATGATGATTACATTAGGATTAAAAATCGGTAGTGAGAGCTACTGAATTTCCTCCCGTAGGATGTGATATAAAAACAAATCGATTATTTTTGTAGTTGTAAACTCAAGTGGATGAAACTACATTTATTAGTGCTTTCATGTCAATTCGGCGAACATATGATAGATTAAATGATCGTGAGGATGATGATTTAAAAATCGTTTGTTTGTGCCGGTCTGCATTTCCTGATGAGAAAACAAACCGATGCTTTTTGTAGTTGTAGTACACCAACATGGATTAAACGTGTGGTTTTTTTCACCACAATGTTGGGGAAATTAATGGATAAAATGCACGGATTATTATTATTATTATTATTATTCCCACTCCGATCGGGACACTAGGTCCACCGTTTCCCCGCAGCGAGGCTCCCCCCGTTGACAGTTTACGTGGGCTGGGTGCAGTGGCGGACTGGCCATCGGGATGAATCCCGATGGGCCGGTACCGAAGTGGGCCGGTCGGATAAGTCACTAGCACATTAGTGACTTAGTATTATTTTAGTATTATTTTAAGCAACACATTATGTTGACGAAACACTCGAGTCAAATGTAATTAAAGTCAGATCCACTCGTGTCTTAGACGTGAACGCGCTCTCATTTGGTGAGAAAACCCTGGCTTGATTTACCGAGTTGATAACCAGCGTCGTAGGACCGCTTAGCGAGATCTCGTTTGTTAGTTTGTTGTTGTTAGTTTGTTTGTTACTCAAACATATCCAGGGTCTGTTGAACTGGCTTCGTACAGGGCACAGGTGGCTGGCAGCGCTAATGTCAAAGACACAGACATTGCATTATATTTGTATTTTACCAGGATGCAGTGACACAAATATTTACATATTTACATTTACTATCTACAGCACCCGCCGCCCCTGACATCCCCCACTCCCCCCGTTTACAATTTACTAGCGGTACCGAAGTGGGCCGGTCGAGAGTCCCGGGATGATTTTTAGTCCCATTCCACCACTGGCTACATGACCGTATGATCGCCCAAATTGACGCACCTCATTCCTAAACTTCTAACAGATACAACATAAACCGATCCTACAGCCTCATATGAGCTCTCAGACACGTTCAACATTAAACTGTCATCGCTGTCTGAGCTTGCTGCTGTGTGCACCATCGTGTTTACATGCAGATGCTGGGATCCTGAACGGTGCAGCTGGAGCGCTGTGCCCGCAATGACGTCACACATAATTTGGCGGGACTTGAAGCATCCCCGAGAAGATCCAGAAAATGGTCAACATTGAAGGGCAGATTAATGGTTATCAAAGTACAAATATCCAAAATCAGTTCAGTAACGGTTTTCAAGGGGACAATATTTACTCAAATTGATGGGTTTGGATGATGGGGGAAACTCGTGTCACAGGCTCTTAAAGTGTATTGCATATTGTCTCGTGCGGGGCATCTAGCTGGGTGAGGATAGTATGTCGAGTTAAGTGAATGAGAAGACTGCATTCATACAGATGTGCAAACGTTTCAGTCCTGATGCAGTAGAATGCAAACCGCTTTACTGGTGGCATGGCTTTAGAATATTTATTTAAGGACCTGAGAGCGTTTTCCCTTTTTTAAAAGTCGATAACATTTATTTAAATCATAATTATTCAGATGTCGTTAATGTAATCCTAAATATGGCAACTTTATTTTATAAAGTTATTCTGACTCACGTGACGTCACCAAAGGCCACCTGAAACGACGTCATGCATTGTAGCATTTCGTAATGCCCTAATATTCAACAACTTGAGACGCACTGTGACAAATAATCTTTATTAATGGCACATGATCAAAGCGGTCTAAACGTATTTAATTTATTTTCAGTGGGGAAACAAGTTACCCAAATCACCAGCTGTGATTATTGCAGGGCATTTACAAAGTCCTAATCTGAGCCTAATATAGTTGAGTAGTACCAGTTGGATGGGCTTGGATCAGTACCAGATCGCTGAGCTGGTCCTAGCAGAGCCACTTGTCAGGAGGACGGCCCTGTGCAGTGGGCTGATCTCAGGACAACAGTCGCTATAGAACATCAGGTTTTGCTTTCACCTCTGCACTGCTGGTTGCAGAATGGTGTCAATGAGGCCTGGCACATTCACCATGTCTATTGGTTTAGAGATGCATCACTATTTCTTCTAACCATCCCCCACCATCAGGTTTCCCGTTTCCTTTTATAAAATCTAGTTGCTTTTGCTTACAATATTGGCTCAGTTTAATTGTTGGCTGAGATGAGATGTTCAAACCTCTTATTATTTTCCCTTTTATTGCAGGATATGATGTTACTGCTCGCCTCGATGGGGGAAGATGTTGTGCTGCCCCTCTTGGATATGAGGTTAGTATTTGTTTTCATGGATTCAGTCTAATGGAATAAATGAGTATATCTGTCTGTAGGCCTGTTACGATAATTAATTTTGTTGGACGATACATTTTCCCGGAAATTATTGTGATAAACGATAATATTGTTGGCACCGTTGTAAGGCCATTTTTAGACCACTGACGTAATGATAATAATAATTCAAGTACATCCTTTAAAACAGAACTTTGTATTGAACATTCAACATGGCAAATGAAATGTGAAATAATATTAAAATATATAAATTATATATAATAAATTAAACAAATATATTAAATCACACTCAACCAAAACAATAAATTAAATAGTCCGATATATATATATATATATGAGCACACATTGTCTCGCAAACAAAAACCCTCCTTAAAACAACAGTCAAGTGTACAGTCCACTGTCCATACAAAGTCCCAGATGCCTCAACAGGCCATATCCAAATCTGTATTTCAAAGATTTCGAGCAAGGAACACCGACATGTTTGCATTGTCGGGCAAATGCATCTTTGATTGTAAACTGGGGAAGGTGGGGGCTCCATCTCCAGCTGCCATGTTTGCTCCCAGCTGGGAAAATGGAATGAGGTGGTTGTGTTTCGGGTACAGTTTAAGGTTGGTCGTATTGCTACCTTTTGTTGCTACCTTTTTAAAAATGCGACATACCGGCTCATTCAAGTCCGTAGGTTCGCCTCGTTGATTTGGCTTAAATCCAAAATATTCCCACACCGGAGATGTGGAATTAGGTTTTGCAACCAATTCCATTTAACTTCAAATTCCCCTCGAGTAAGTCACCCGTTTCCTGCTTGTCTCTATATTATTTATTTGGCTGTTGCACGCGGAGTGTCCTGACCTGACTGTGTGTGAGCCCCGCCCCTCACAGGGCGCCTGCCTAATGCCCCGGCCACACGAGGACGAAAACGGCTAAACGCATAGGATTAACGCAAACGCAATCGCAAAAAAGCTTCCGTCCACACGCAATAGTCATCCGGATAGTGTCTGTCCACACGAGACAGCTCCGTTTAGCTCCAACCGCTGGAGAAGCTGCACTACATATGCAGGAGCCTGTACGTGGCGCTGTAACTTCCTCCACAAAAGCAGCGAAGAAGCATGGTTGTCATGGTTGCCCTTCTGTTTATTCTTCGCGGTGGGGGCCGAGGGAACCAGGCAGAGTTTTTCGCCAGTCAACGTGTATTAAAGTTTAAATCTTCCGACAAAATTATAAAAGTGCCGGTAAAAGGTCTTCTTTGTTATTTATTGAGCTTTAAAACAAATGAATAACGACTCTATATAATATAATAATAAAATACACGGAGCCTCTCTTTTTCCTCCCTCTCTTTGGACAGCGCCAGTGTCTGTTTCATGCAGCAGCTGATCCAGTAATGAGTGACCCAGCCGACAGTAAAAATAAACATATTTATATCTAGTTTAGGTAGTTTGAGAGGTGTCTCCGTCCTGTCAGATTAGACTTCACTTGCGTGTTATGTCAAACGAGAGAAAGATAAATAATCTGAATTCAGTGTGCAGTTTACTTTGACGCGGGGGTGAGCGGGAGAGGCGGGGCTATTGCCTCATCATTATCAGAAAATGATCGTATAGGGCGTACACACGGAGCCGTTGGACCCCCCAGAGCGTTGCGTATGCCGTTCTATCCACCTTGGGACCCGTTATCGTTTCCGCAGTCGTTTAGTGCCGTATTCGCTCGTCCTCGTGTGGCTAAACGGTCTATATGACACTAAACAGTAACGCAAACGACCGTTTTCGTCCTCGTGTGGCCGGGGCATAAAATGCTGGTCACATCCTTATGTAAACAAAAACGCATGTAAACGGCAATTTATCAAGGTCAGAAAAGTTATCGAGTTCATTTTTATTTATCGTATGATAAGTCCAGTCAGAAAGACAAACAGTGAAACCAATTTATATGTCATGTGTGTTCTGTCATCACTTCATATCAGACCAGGGAACTAGTTGGCGGTCTGCTTTTCTTTTTTTCTTTTTTACTGCAGGAGCCTGACAACCTAAACCTTCAGGCTTCCATGGACATTTGACTTGTCATAGGTTTTTGGCACAAAGTTCATAAACGACTAGTTTGCATTTAATCTTATCTGGACCAAATACTCTTGTTTTATAAGATCTGGGGTAGGGTGATGGTGGCCCTCGCTGCTTAGGTATCCAAAACATCATCAACCACTTCATGTCAGTTTAATAGACTCCACCTCTTTAAATACAGCAAGCCTGGACATGCTACTCGACATTACGGTTTTCCTCAAATACATGTGTACTGTTGGGATTGATGCATTTCTTGTCTGCTTGGCACAGTATGAGCTCTGGTCCTGTTAGGTGGGCCGAAGAGCTCATACAGTGCATAGAGCAAATATTCTCTTGCAACCCACTGCTGCTGGTTGTAGCAGTGTTACTTATGAGAAAAGACATCTGTTACATTTATAAATATACATATTTTTGTTTATGGCAGTCCTTTAAACATTCTTTGTTCTTTGGCAGGTGATGAAACCTTAAGGACAGCTTGGTAAGTTGCATTTCAGAATTCAGTCACTGTTCAAGTGTCATGATGATTGGCTTAATGTTCAACTGCTCTGAAGTGTGATTGAGAGATGCCCAACTGAACAAAATACAGCAGTCTCTCTGCTGCTGCCACTGCTTATGGAAACCCATAGTAACTTTAGTTCTGCCTCAACAGGTGTCCTCTCTGGCCTTCAACACTGCAGCATGATGTAAGTACTCTGACGTCCCTTAACAAGAGGGTTTAAACCAACAGGTGGCTGCTATAAATGCACAAGATTCCAGGAGGAAAACAAACCATGTTTTCAAAGTAACTGTCGAGAGTGATATGGAGAGTGTGAAACATGTTGTATAATGACAGCACTGTACGGTATCTGCAGCCAGCTGCTTTCTCAGCTGGTTAGTTCATAAGTCAGTGCAAGACAAAACTCACAAACTGGCATCGTTGGTCTCCGTGCTGCCTGTGTGTGGAGTCCTGGTATGTTTGCTGAAACATTATTCATTAGAAAGCCATGTCTTTACCCTGTGTCTGTACATAGTACATGCAAACCACTGCAGATGTAACTAATTTCATCAAAAGGGAGAAATGCATGTCAAGTAATGATAAAACATGAATGCTGCAAACATGTTCTCACTCTCTCCTGCCTGCCTTCTTCAGGTGTGCTGCAGCAGAGGCTGTCGTCCCAGGATGCAGCAGGAGAGGCTGTCGTCCCAGGATGTAGCAGGAGAGGCTGTCCTCCCAGGATGCAGCAGAGGCTGTCCTCCCAGGATGCAGCAGCAGCAGAGGCTGTCCTCCCAGGATGCAGCAGGGCGTCACAGCAGAGGTGAGTGTACGACTGTCACAGAACTGAGGTCTATCCCGACTGACCTTTACCTATAGGGCCGTGTCGTTGGAAATACCTCACAGAATAAATCTGTGGTTACGCTTTACCCACATGTCCACTCCCATGAGCATTGTGGGATATTACTCAGGGTTCGTACGGGTGATTGAAATCCTTGAAAATGCTTGAAATTTGACGTGGTGTTTTCAAGGTTGGGAAAGTGCTTGAATTTTGGGAATGGTGCTTGAAAATGTAAATGCTTTACTTTTACAATAAATTGCTGTCTGACTGAATAATTCGCTTTTTAGATTAAAAGAAAATAATTGCTTCGCTTCTACATAAAACAGCTCCGCTGCGGCCTTCCCGCGCTATGCGCGCGACCTGCAAGTGTTTTTGTTACGTGTGACCTGGGCATTCTGATGAGTGATAGATGACTGTGTGCCAGGAGGTTGCAGTTTCAACGAGCGTTGGCTAGCAGAAGACAAATACAAGCCATGGCTAAGACGAGGATCAAGCCCACGAGTAGCCTCTGCAAAGTTTGCAACAAATAACGATGCGAGAGTGCGCTGACGAGCCACATGAAAGGTACGCCGTAGTAGAGCATTTTAGATTAGGCTAACGTTGCATGTTACGTTTGTTTAAGGCGAGACACGGCAGGCAAAAACATCGTTTTTCAAGTACTGGTCAATTGTGAGATTTTGTGCTATTTTGATTCTATAACATGTTTTCTTTCAGGCTTTTGGAAGGAAAACGTACAAAATACACATTTAAGTGTTTATTTTACTATAGTTTGTCTATTTGCGTCTGTAGATTTCTCCTAAATTCACCAAAAGTTAACATTCTAACGTAACCTAAAGTACCGCGACCGCTGTGTGCACCATGTCAACAGAGATATCGTTGGAAAGCTGTGTCTCTCCTGCACAATCTCATCGGATCCAAATATGGTCATTTCCTTTGTATCAGCAACCAATCGTGAAAGTACAAAAGGGTCTTAAACCAAGAAACAAAATCTCATTGGCTGGTATCAATTTCTGACAACGTGATTCGTTCTTTCCGCTAGAAATTGAAATCTCAAAATGGCAAAAGAACGGCGAAAAAAACGTTCACAGAGAAGACGACAACAATTGTCACTTGCACGAAGCAAGGTTATACAAAAAACAAATGACCCCGAACATGAAATACCTTCACGGAGTGCGTCGATGCGCAAGCTGTCATCCAAAGAACAGGAGGGTTTAGTTAGCGCCTCACTGCAATCTTTAAAGGTCGTTTTCTCAAAATGAGTTTTTTGTCCTACTCTGAGTTCGAAATTTCAACTTCAGTAGCACGTACATACACCAAACCTTCCAGTTATATTCCTATCAATATTTTGAAGGCTTTTACAGAAGGGTTTGTTCATATATCATTCATAGCCTGAATTATACAACATTGTATACCTAAAAACATGGCGAAAATTGATATTTTAGGGCTGTTGACAGTATTTTCTGATTTATGGAGTGATAAAAAGAGATATCCAATATCCCTTCTGTAAAAGCCTTAGATACTAATATGACTACAAAATGAAACAAGAATTTTGAACCTGGCTTTATCCAAAGTTCAGATTTCGATTCCTGAAATGTGTTAAAATATTTGCATATTTAATGAGATAATGGATAATTTGCATATTTAAACAATTGCCTTAGTGTAAGTAATTAACTGGAGACATTTCTAGCTGATACCTTTAAGTTACAAAAATTACCCTATTCACCTGTGGTGTCTCGCCTTAAGCTAACGTTAGCAAGCTGAATAGCGAACTCGATTGAGGGATAATAATAATTGCAGGGGACAATCATTTCAGAGGAGCGTACCTGTGTTATGTGCGTTACAGTCGCCATCGTGTGGTGTTCAGAGGATGAAGTACTCACGGCATTTCGTGTTATAGTCACGAAATATAATCTATTGATTCGATACGGAGCGATTTTAAAAGCAATGTATTTCTACTGGTAGTATGTTTCGTGCCTAAACCAAATGTGACTTGCTCTATCGAAATCCGTCACATTGACCTGAAGACACATTTTCGTTTGTATTACTGGTCTGGGGGAAGCTCGCGAGTGTGTTTGTGTATTTTTGCTTTGTGTACCTGGGAAACACTTACAAGAAACACCGGCTGTTGTTATGCTTGCTGTGACGTTACATTACTCCGTTCTCTGCTTGTAATTATGCCGAAGCTTCAAAGTTGTATTTATCATCTGAATTTGCCGAAACAAGTTTAATATTCTGAAAGCCAATACTTTGTTTATTTGAAAACAGATGAAAACAAACTGTCTTTTATATAAAATTGAAGTATTATACAAGTAAAACTACATTTTGCTTTAATTCCATGTAATTGTAGAAGAAACAGTCTTCCTTTGAAGATGTATAAGTCAGGTGTCTTGAGTAGTCAAAATTACCTACAAATCATTGTACACATTTGTAAATATTATTTTCCACTTGTTACCATTGTGAGTCTATTTTTATGCAGCTCTGCGTGATTTTGTGGCTACAATTCAGGCTAATACGCTACCAGAGGTGGAATAAGTACTCAGAGCTTGTACTTGAGTAAAAGTAGAAGTATTCAGATCTTGTACTTAGTAAAAGTAGAAGTACCAGAGTGTAGGAATACTCTTGTCACAGTAAAAGTCCTGCATTCAAAATGTTTGTCAAGTGAAAGTAGAAAAGTATTCTCATCAAAATATAATTAGAGTAGCGACAGTAAAAGTAGTCATTGTGCAGATTGGTCCATTTCAGAATAATATATTTGATATGTTTTATAATGATTGATCATGAAAGTGTTCTCAAAGCTGGTAAAGGTGCAGCTAGTTTGAATGACTTTGTATACTGCAGGGTAGCTTGTGGATTTACTCCAGGTGGAACTAAAGTCTGATTATATCACTTGATTATATTTCACATCATTCATCCACATCTGTGAAGTAACTAAAGGTATTAAATACATGTAGTGGAGCAAAAGTACACCATTTACCTCTGACTTATGTTTACTGCCAACCTAAAAGTACCTCAAAAATAGTAATCAATAATGTATTGAAAAGTTATTTGGCTGATTGTTTTATTTTGGCTCAAACAGGTTATATGGGATGCCCAGTCTACGTACAGATCACTAATTTTGAAATATTAAACTTAGTTTTCTTTTCTTTAATTTTTCAGCCTCGTGTAGAAGGCTATCACGAAACACACATTTGGTTGTTTATAGCATAAAGAACATCTGATTTAATGTGAGGTAGGGAAATAATTATTTGAGCATGTGTATATAAATATGTAATTTACAACAGCTGCAAGATGCTGGAAAATGCACCTTGAAAAGTGCTTGAATTTGACTTTAGAAAAGGTGTAAGAACCCTGATTACTGCAGGACCAGGGTTCGAGTTATAAACTAACGCGTGCAACACATACTCAAACACACACACACAGCAGCAGCCCTCTACTTGCTACAAACTTAAATATGAAAAGGTTAAACTACGCACACACACACATCATCTCGGCTCGCGCAGCACGCTCACAGGCATATATTGCACAATAATGCATTGTGCACCTTGGAGGTGCAGTGCAGGCATATTGTCATTCAAGAGACGCGTAGTTCTTTTGGAAAACATGTTTTTCTTTTAGCCTATTTACCTCGTTAACGTAATTAATACTAGTTACATTGACACATGCATTATTTGTGATTAAAATAATGGTTGTTGGTAATGTATTGGCAACCCCCACAGATGTATGATTTCACTGCGTCCGTGGGCGCTCAGACCCTCCTTGTGGGCGCTCAGACCCTCCTTGTGGGAGCTCAGACCCTCCTTGTGGGCGCTCAGACCCTCCTTGTGGGCGCTCAGACCCTCCTTGTGGGCGCTCAGACCCTCCTTGTGGGAGCTCAGCTCCCATTGGCTCCCACATAACTCGAACCCTGTGCAGGACACATGATAAAAAGATACATGAGGCCATATTGAGTATCAGCACAGGCAGGGACCCTTCAACTTACTAAGCCATGCTGAGGCTAGATTGGTGTTTGATATGTGGTAATCAAACTGGTGAAAGAAAGGGGTCTTTTTAAATGTTTTAAAGGTCCCATGTCATGGCCATTTCTACTGATCATAATTCCATTGTTGAGGTATACTAGAATAGATTTACATTGTTCAATTGTATGGTATGTGTATTCACTCTCTGTCCTAAACGGCTTGTTGGAGCTCCTGCTCTTTGGTTATCATCTCCACTTGAAGTATTTGTGCAGCGAATTCCTCCCGACTACTCAGTCAAATTAAATGATGATTATTTACTTCGAGGTGCAGCTGGAACAGTCGTGTTTTTACATTTTGGTTATTATCTCAAACTTCCCAGCTTTGGGTTAACCTTTGTTAGATCACGATAAGATTACACTGATCTAAAGGTATCATAATATGAAAGAACTGCATGTGCTGACACACTCCTTATTGTCCTCCAGGTGTTCTGCAGGAGAGGCTGTCCTCCCAGGATGCAGCAGCAGAGGCTGTCCTCCCAGGATGCAGCAGCAGAGGCTGTCCTCCCAGGATGCAGCAGGGCGTCACAGCAGAGGTGAGTGTACGACTGTCACAGAACTGAGGTCTATCCCGACTGACCTTTACCTATAGGGCCGTGTCGTTGGAAATACCTCTCAGAATAAATCTGTGGTTACGCTTTACCCACATGTCCACTCCCATGAGCATTGTGGGATATTACTGCAGGACACATGCTTATTTTGAAAGATTAAAGGAGAAATAAATAATCTGCATCTTTAGAACTGTTAAATAATGAATTGGTAATTGAATAATCTTGACTTTCAGAATCCTGAGATGTGAAGAGGAGTGACTCCATCTTTTTCCTGTGAGTAAACTGAATTCCCCCTCTGGTATTAAAGCATTATCTAATGAGTGATGCTGCTCTCTGTGTTGGTCATATACCAAGGCTTTCAGGACTCTCCATTCTTGTTTTGCTGTGGAATTGACCAGAAAATAAAAAGCATCCCAGAGGTCTCCTTCAGCAGCCTGCTGAGGAGGCCTGTGGGAACATGATCTTCCTAACTACACATGCTGCTCTCATCAGTCACATGAAGGTGAAGTGACCTAACTACTGTACATTGTACCTGCTGAACCTTTGCTTCCTGTATTTTCAGATTGCTGCTCCACAACTGATCTGGTGACATCATTGCACATTGTGGCAAATACCTTTGTACAGCTGTTGTGGTTGTGTACACTGCAACAGAATGTCTACTTACTGAAATAAACAACCATTACTCTCACTTGTCTGTCAGTGTCCTCGTATCCATGAACTATAATCAAGAATTTAAAAGTGATAACTTTCTTAATGTAATGTTTCATTACTTAGCCAATGCATTTATCCAAAGCATACTACCTGAAATGATTAGTGCTCAATTTGAATACTCTATTCTGGTTGGACATATTGGCTGTTCAAGAGGTCAAGTCTTGCTTACAGACTGCTGCTAAGGAGAATTGGGTACAGAATCAGCATACCTTTTATTACACAGAGGGGATATTTGCAGCGTTACAGCAGGAAAGCGCCACAGACAGCTTAGTGTTGCATATCTTAAATGCGTTAAAGTACTAAGTTATAATATAATAAACAGCAGCCAGGTATAAATTACAGTTATTAATGGCATATATATTGCACAAAGTTGGTTTGTATTTAGCAGCAAGGGGTGTTTTAGTCTGTGTTGTGGTGTGTGTAGGAAGGTCTACTAGGGGCAGTGCTGGTTGTAAAGTCTGACCGCTGCAGGAAGGAAGGACCTGCGGTATCTCTCCGTGTGACAGGTGGGGTGCAGCAGCCTGTCGCTGAAGGAGATGCACAGTGAGGACAGGGTGTCATGGAGACAGCTTGGCTGCCATTCTCCTGTCTCCCACCACCTCCACAGTGTCCAGAGGACTCCCCAGGACAGAGCTGGCCTTCCTTACCAGTCTGTTCAGTCTCTTCCCGTCAGCAACCGAGATGCTGATTCCCCAGCAGGCCACACCATAGAAAATGGCTGATGCCACAACAGAGTCAAAGAAGGTCTGAAGGAGTGCCCCCTGCACCCCGAAAGACCTCAGTCTCCTCAGCAGAAAGAGTCTGCTCTGTCCCTTCTTGTACAGAGCAGCAGAATTATCAGTCCAGTCCAGTTTATTGTTCAGATGAACACCCAGGTATTTGTAAGATTCCACAATCTCAATGTCCGCTCCCTGGACTCAGAGGTCGCGCGGCTGTGGAGAAGAACGTGTTGCCCACATTCTGTTACTGAGTTTAGGCTATAGCTAGCAGGTTTATTGTTTTGGGTGCAGTCACTTTTGCCTCCACTTGCTTTTCAAATAAATGTTGAAAGAAAAAGTAAATCTGTTTACAGTTCTGTTTCATATGGGTGTTGAGAGATGTATCCATAGATTTATTCCCTAATTTTGCACTCAAAGTGCACCAGATTGATGCATTTAACGTCAACGTTTCAAAAAAAATAATCCCGGGGGAGCATACCCCCGGACCCCCCTAGAGGAGGTGAGGTCAACCACCTGCCACCACCCCCTGTTAAATTGTTTCACCTACATTGAGGATGCTTCCTATGCCCATGTTTTATTCCATGCGTCAAGTCAGGCAAATTGGGTCCAAATGTTATTGCATCAATGATCTGTTAACATTAAAATGAATAAATTAGTGCTGTCAAAATTATCGCGTTAACGGCGGTAATTAATTTTTTGAATTAATTGCGTTAAAATATTTAACGCATGTGCAGAATGGCCCGCCCCATACATGCCACCAGTGGCAGCGCCAGGGTATGGCTGGGGTAGGCTACACCCATACCAAGAAATGGCTTAGCCCCACCATGAAAAATGATGTTAAAGTAAGCAAAATAAAGTCTGCCAACTCGCGCGGAGTAAATTGCAGACAGCAGTTAGTAAGATTGATTTCAGGAGCCACGGTTTTGAAAACTTTTGTCACGTAGTGATCGTCTTCTCAATAGAACATCTTTGATAACGGCGTGGTGTTGTTGCAGGAAGTCCCGACGGAGAATACTTTTGCTGTAGTACAGGGGTGCACATAACTGGTACGCAGGTTATGTGCGTAATCTGAAATGCTTACCGTCACTTGTGTCACAAAGCGCATTTGCGTACCGACGTACTTGTGAAGCTTTTCCAGAAGGCGGTTAGATCACCGGACGACAGAGTCGGTCTCCGTGTGCACAGACAGGGCTGCTGTTAACGTCGGTCTGTACAACGGAACTGTGCCAAAACTACGCCAACCGGCTGCGGAGGAAGACTCTCCCCCCCACTGGAGAACTGCGCTAAAACAGCTGATCACAACGTTCACACTCTGTGGTCACGAAGTACTCCACTAGCCGCCGCCCCCCCCCCCCCTCTGTCGACTTTCCTGAAGTACTCCCCCGTTGATAGCAATCAACACGTAATGAATTAAGACCCCACGGTTTGATGATTGATAGGTGTGTGTGGGTTGTCTTTCATTTTGACACGCAGAAAAATGTTATAATAAACATAGATACTGTATGTTAAATGGATATATCCGCCTTCTTTAATTTATCTTCCCATTCCCACAACAATATACATAAATAAATGGCATATTTTGGACATAGTTCGAATGGTGATTAATCATGATTAATTAATTTTTAAACTGTGATTAATCTGATTAAACATTTTAATCGTTTGACAGCCCTAGAATAAATATATGCTGTAACTATTTTGCTCTAGGCAACTCAAGGGCTCAGGTAATGTGATTACCATATGAATAATTGTCCAAAATAACATTAAATGCATAGGATTTTTTGTTAAGTAACATACTTTCATCGCCGGCCAGCTGATACATGCCACGCATTAAGTGGGCCTGTCTGTCAATTAATCCCCGGGCCACTTTTTCCTCCCAGTCCGCCCCTGAGAGTCTGGCTCTTTGTAGCCAGAGATGGTTTTCAGGCCTCTCCAGACTCCACTGATGTTCCTCTGCAGCAGCTGTTCCTCCATCTTCTTCCTGTAGCTGTTTTTCCCCTCTGATTTTCCACCTCAGCTCCCTCTGTACAGTCTTCAGCTCCTCTCTGTTGCCAGATCTGAAGGCCCTCTTTTTGTCCTTCAGGAGAGCCTTTATTTCAGGGGTAATCCAGGGTTTGTTGTTGGGAAAACACCGTACAGTCCTGGTGGGTACGACGTTTTCCTCACAGAAGTTAATATAGTCTGTGATGCAATCTGTAAGGCCATTGATGTCCTCCCCGTGAGAGTCAGTGAACACATCCCACGCAGTAGTGTTGAAACAGTCTTTCAGAGCCGCCTCAGACCACCTCTTCACGGTGCGTGTGGGCACCGGCTGTCTGTGGACCAGGGGTTGGTACACAGGCTGGAGGTGAACCAGGTTGTGATCAGATCTGCCCAGGGGAGGAAGGGGGGGATGAGCTGTATGCATCCTTGGTGTACCATCATTGTTGTAAAATAAGAACTGGATACAGCGTCGGAGGCGGGGTCTCGTTCTTTCCTATGAGAGCTGCTCATTGGCGCATGATTGCAAAATGGCCCATCTTTTGAGAGAGCGAAACGTCACAGATTACCCGTCATGCTTAGCTTTCAGAGCAGAATAACCCGTATGTGCGCTCACAGAGCATGCGCCCCTTAAGCCCCGCCCCCGAGCTCCCACGGCTCAGTAAAATTAATTGAGACAGAAAATAAATCTAGATTCGGCTTTTAGTGCATTTTATAACCTAATGATTATAATAAGGGTTATAAAATAGTTCATACTGGGTAGTTTATTTAGTTTAAAACAAATTATCCGCTGATTTACAGACGTTTCTTTCCCAATGTTAGTCAATGGGGAAAAGTCTTTCTGGGCCCAGTGAAGTCACGGACTGGTACGGAAATTGTAGTACCGCCGTTTGGACACAACGAATATTTTCATCAGAGTCCGGTGCACTTCCTGGGGGCTTGGGTACCATGCAGTGGCGTAACAAGGTTGTGATTGGCCCCGGTGCAAATATTGATTTTGGGCCCCCCATCGCCCCAAACATAAGCGCACGCTGATGCGCTCACACACGCACAGACATACACTCTCTTTTGAGCGCTGCTCTTGTGCTTTGGTTTGCTGTACATTATAAATGCAAGCCATTACATTTTTTATAATGCTGCCGAACTTGCTGCTGCTAGCTACAGTACAGTACAGTAAGGCAAGGCAAGTTTATTTATATAGCACCTTTCAGCACCAGGCAATTCAAGGTGCTTTACAGGTTGATTAAACAGTTCGCTCGTCACGCAAAGGTATCACATGACATGAAAGGGAGCAATGTCATTGGACAGACAAATTACAAATTAATTTAGGTTGCTTGGTTACTTTGAAGACTGCGCGAACCGGTCAGTGCCAAAAATCTGTATTTTTGAATATGGATCTTAAGTTGGCGTGGCGTTAAAAATATGTAATCGCGATTAATCGCATGATGTCCATAGTTAATCGCAAATGAATGGCACATTTTTTATCTGTTCTAAATGTACCTTTTTAATACTCTTATCAACATATGAGTGGACAAATATGCTTTATACAAATGTTTGTTTATTATCATTGGAACAATGACAAATATTCTCCTGAATATTCTCAACACAACAACCTCTGGGCTATCGGCATTAGCTGTGTGCTTGTCTTGCTGTTTAAAACACATTTCTTTGTATCCATATATCTTGCTAGAATCTCCCACCATCCAACTAACAACAACAACGTCAAGCCTTTGGGCTCTGAAACTACGGAGCGGGCCGAGGACAAATACACATGCGTTAAATAATTAGTGACGTTACATTTTTTTTGCGTTAACAACGCCCTAATATATATATGTAGTACCATGTGTATACACAATATCACTTATTCTCTTCTGTTGAACATGTTGGATTGTGTATTGTCCGAGTCCTTTTTATTTTACTGTAACTTTGGAAGAACAAATGAAATGCAATGAATAAGCTTAATTTTCACTGAAGCACACATAACGTCTGATCTAATATTTTTAACAAATCATCCCTAATGCATTGACTAGGCCAGGGGTATTCAACAAAAATTCAACGAGGTCCAGTTAGAGAAAATCTCCCCATGCAAAGGTCCGGAACATCAAAATGTCTAAGTTGCTTTATGAATTAGTGTGATATATATTGAAGTAGCTGCAGCTGTATCAATGTCTGCATGTTATCAAAAACTGACTGCCAATCAAATAAAGAAAGTACAATTCATATACAACAATATTTATTGTCAATTAACATTGAACTATACAGATATACAGTAAATACTGTGGATAT